CAAACGCGTTACTGGTAACGAGTAACGAAAGCGTTATTGCGTTACAAGTAACGTATAGCGCAAACGTTACTGCATTACTAGAAAAGTAACGCAAAAAAGCGTTAAAGTAACGCAAATAACGCTGCGTTACTCGTTACAAAAGCTATGAAAAATAAACACATCTCGTTAGTAGTTACTGGTAACGAGTAACGCATGCGTTACTGCGTTACCTGTAAAGAAACGGTAAAGCGCCACCCCTACGACTAGGATAACCAGAAAAACTCTTTTTTTTTTTTTTTTTCTGGGTACCTCAGAGGTCGAAATTATTCAAATTATTCAATAATAATTTCGATCCAGTTTTTATTAGAGATTATGAATTAGATATTAGTTTTTCTTGTACTCAAAGAAAAAGCACAGAAAAAGCCAAAAGAATACATTATTAGCTATTCGCGGAAGCATCGTTCGCAGAATAGTCGGTGATTCAGTCTGTGCACACAGTTCTTCTCACCTTAACTATATAGATTTTCATACGCTCTTTCGATTGACACCAAACTAGTGTTTCATCATCAAAAATTATGGCTATCACATAGTTCTGAACTAGTGTAGCGAGAGAAGATGAGAAATGCACTCACTCATTCGCAAAATCAAATATAGATATAAAGCGAGCAACGAACAAAGATTTATTTTTCTTGTTACATTTGGCTTTTGCAAAAACAAGAAACAATGCCTGATAGTCAATAATTTAAAACTTTGTACATTTAAATAGTCTTTGTTTTTAATTCTATTACTTTACTCAATAAAATAAATACCAATACACCTACTAAATACTAAAACAACCGCCATCATATTTTGGACGTGATCTCCATACAAAACTGTCTCGCACGATGGTATCCGTGGTTGACACCACCTACTCTTTGATTTTGCTTGGTGGTGGCAATAGCCATTCCAAGAATTTTTTGATACGCTAGTTTCCATCCATTTGATTTTTAGCATTGTGAATTCTCCTCTTTTCTATCGAGCATGAACGAATCGCAAATTGTATCAATAAATAAATACACAAGGACTTTCTTTTGTCAAACAAAATAGAAAATGAGAAATATTCTTTAAGCACAACAAGGCGGAGAAGAATTGTGTGCGTGTTTATTGTGATGTTTAAAGACTTTTCAAGTTTTTTTTTCAGTTCTTTTCCTTTCTGTTCAGAAAAAAGAAGCTTCAATCTGTACATAAACGTTACAGTTTGTGAGGTATTTCAGCTGTTGGTTGCTACAGTTGTTCAAATGTTTCGAATTAATGGGAAACGATTTGTATTGTTGGTGTTGTATGTTAACATGTATGTGAAACTTTTGTCATTCAGTTGAGTGGAATAATAGGCCATGTTTGAACCTTGAGAATAGCATCTTCGATTGAACGGAGCGTATATTTTCCATTTATTAAATGATCTCGGAGTTCAGAGAAACGCGTTTATTTGACTGTCGGATCAATAGCAGTACAATCAAGGCAAAGCAGGTTTAATGGAATTATGCATTTATTAGTGACAACTCTCATCCATCGATATATCCTCGCACTTCTAGAAAATAACATTAAAAATGAGTCACCAAAACCAGTTCGTTACTCGTCAGCTACAATATCTTCAAGCTGGGAAATATTACCTCAGAAAAAGAATATTTATGCCAGAATTATCGAGAGGAGTGTAGCTGCTATAGAGATTATTGGTGGACAACACATGACCCTAACTGGTGGTGTTATTCTTCCACCTCATTAAAATTCTTAAGTAGATTTGAAGAAAAAAAGGACACAGCATTTTGACTGTGGATTGCAATGAAAATGTGCTCAGCCTTGTCGACTCTTCTGGAAAAAAACACAAAAAGAAAATACCTCGTCTGTCTATGAGAACTTATTCATACACATGGTCTCGCATATCTTTCTTCTGTAAAACACATTATGAGCGTGAAAAATCGACTTTTTAGCACTAGACGGGTTGAGCCGAAATTTCGGGAGATGAATTATTTTTATAGATGGTGCTAAGTGAGTAGTACTCATTTCCATTGAATACAGCATTGCTTGACTAAGACAATCGTTTCAAAAAAAGGCAGTATTCAGCGTGATTTTTAATGATTTAAAACCTTTTAGAGAATATTTGTCAAATTTTCTTGCTTTCTTGAGTGAGCTTTGAGATTTCTCCGCGTTACTTGGCTACGGACCAGAAATCACGTCAATTGATAATCTAAATCGTGCAACATTCACCTGTAGAGAGATCACTTATGTCGTTAATATTTTTTTAGCATTCATCATCCGTTTTTCCCATTCTGATATTTGTCCTATATGGAAATATCAATAAACTATGGAAAAAAAATAAGAAAATAAGAAGTTTTGTATTTTTATCGAAATCTTCATATATCTTACAACTGAGGTATTCTCTCGATTCGTTCCTAATTGGCTTTGCAGATCAACAACATCAAAAGTGGTACCAAAAGTGAGAGTGAGTAACGGATGGGACAGAAGAAACGGACCTCTCAGTATTTTGAAGTCTGCCCGCGATCCTCAGGTTCAAAAATTCAGCTGCTTTTGCAAAAGTTTCACCATTCAATTTCTCCACAGAAGATGATTTTGAGGCTCGAGAGCAAGGGGGAAAAGACGGATCCGGGATCCATGCGGATCTACGCCGATCCATGCGAATACAATTTTATTGAACTCAACTGTCCAGGAAATCTCTGTTCCCACAAGCAAAAGAAAAATGTTCTATCTGTGGGAAAAGAATTTTCACAGGACAGAACACAATTGTCCCGTTATCCAGGAAATTCTCCCAATAAAAGAACCAGACTGTCCTGTTTTGGGAACAGGATTGTGCTGTTTTAGCGGAAGAATATTGAGACGGATCTGTGGGGATCTTGGCGGATCTGCGGGATCCCGGATCCGCCTTTTCCCCCTTGCTCGAGATGCCATCTTATTGAACAAAAATCGAAATGCCCCAAAACTCTGAAAAATTAATTTTTTTCTGTAGACGATTTGGAATTTTGAAACCCATGTACAAAGTAACAGAAAAAAAATGTCAGGTCATTCCTGGCACTTTTTTGGGTGATTTTTCTTGGATTTTGAGCAAGTTTTCTAAGAGTCTGGAAGCAACGGGTCTTTAAATAATGGTTTTCTCCTGGATACTTATGGAATTAAAATTTTTCCGAAAACACCGCTTTGTAGAGCAAACGTTTCTGATCAAAATAAGCCGTTGCACAACTCTGTATGACCTTGCATCGAAAAGTTACAGGCATTTTCCTAGAAGTCATAAAATCGACTATTTCATACAGCGTTTAACACAGCGTTTTCGCTGTATAAGAGTTACACCTGCAGTGCGTCCCAGGATTTTTAATAGTGGTTTGTCGTAGAGAGTTCATTCGTTTTTTGTTTAAAAGAGGAAAAGAAACCGGCGCCGATTTTAGAATTAGGTCTTAGCAAGAACGAGTCTGATTGGTTCATTTTTGAATGAGCAGTGTTCATTTTACAAACGGTTGCAAAATGCATGTGGAAAAAGCAGAAAAAATAGTCACGTGACTTTTGCAAAAAGCATTATTGAAAACACATAAATAATGATAGAAAATTTTCGCATTATAGCCATTCGATAGAGAATTCCAAGGGCTACATTTTGATCTATTCGATGTGGGTACAACGTATGCACTCAAGTTTATATTGACGAAATACACTTTGTCAAGCTGAACTTTTAAATTTGCTGCTGTATATCATTTATTGTTCAAGTAAAACGGCATCTCGAGTCTCAGAATCATCTTCTATATACCATGATGTAGAGAACTAAATGGCGAATCTTTTGCAAAAAACAGCTGAATTTTAAAACGTGAAGATCGCGGACGAACTTCAAAGTACTGAGAGGTCGGTTTTTTTTGCCCTACCCGTTATTAAGGGCCCCCGCCCCCTCAGAAATGATGATTTTCAAAAATCGTAGATACGAACATGAAAAGATAGCCTGAAGTGTCTACTTCCAGAGTCTGTATTGCTTTTGGTTACAAAAGTGATTTTTCCGGGATTTTGAGCAAGTATTTCACCAGAGTAACGGCAAAAAGTAATTTAATCTTGTTTGTTGTTAAAATGATTTGAAATCAGTTACTAAAACAGTATCTTGTTGTGAGATTTTTGCTTAATATGTTGCAGTATCATATTTGGTTAGAATTTACCATAGCTCTTAATTGAGGTTACTCCCATCAAAAATTAGAAAATGTTTTGTGAAAAGCTCATAGAATAGCTTAACGGAATAACTGTAAAATAAGTACAATTCACTGTGTTTATATCTCGGTTGTTCAACCCAATGGAAAGACTATATTAAGAAACGTTGCATCTTTATATTTTATTCTCTCGATAAAAAGAGATCAATAAACATTCTCAATAAAAAATGTTTTTTGCGTCAAAAAAAGAGAAAAAAACATACCAAAAGTCTGAAAGATTAATTTTTTTGTTGATATTTTTAAGAAACTTGAAGTACTAAGGTAGCGATGCCACACATATTTTTTCCTCGTAAAATTCGAATGTATCCATTTTCGCCCCATGTTTGACCTGAAAATAGATTATAATAATATTCAAACGATATTTACTTGTTTTGGAATATACACTTACCCCAGCTATTTTTACATATCCAATATAAGTCACCTGCTACTGTTTTACCATATCCAACTAGTTGTAACTGAAGAAAACCAAACAGAAAAATATATTTAAAATTTCATTTTAATGAAATTTATCGAAAAATCAGTTATATTACAGCATGATCTATTTCAGTTTGATTGCACGCACTATCTTCATATATGCCTGAAATATTAAATTAAATTGAGAAAAACTAGTTGAAGAATATAGTGGTATATATAAATACCAGAAGTATAAAATTGAAATGAAGCTTCACTGGCATCAATACCGACAAATAAAGGTGACTCTTGAATAATGGTAACCATATCATCTTCATTCTTCGATTTAAGTTGTGTAACTTTATTAAACTATAACAAATATAATCAAAAATGAAATGTAGAAAAGAAAAATCACAAATTAATTTTTTACCGAGGCAAATGGTTTACAAGCTGTTGGATTACAGTCTCCCGTCGTTTTTGGATAGTCGGCAGCATGACATATGCCACCTAATTTTTTAATACAATCAAACGGCACTAAATGTTGTGGACAACAATCATCAACACGTTCAACACTTCCTGCTTCTAGTTTTGTTGTTTGAATTGCATATAAACTTTCAATTAATTCTACATTTCAACAACAAATAGAGTATTCTTTAATAAAAGGAAGGAACTTTTTTAAAATTAAACTTACCAACGGCCACCATTAGAAAAATAGGTACTTTTGCCGCGCACCATCAGATTAGTTGAAACTAAGGCGATATATGCAGAATTTCACGGCGAATCCGACAGCGGGCTTCTTATAATTATACTTTGAGTTTCTGATAGGATCGCCACGGTCTTTGCGATTTCCTATAGTAAATTTAGG